CTCCTTTCCTCCCCAGCAGCAACTGCAGCAGCAACTGGAGCAGCTAGAGACGACAATAGGCCACTAGGTGCAGCACAGCAGCAGCAATTCAGAAGCAAAAGCAGCTGCTGCACTCTCCCGGGCAAATTGTGGGGCCAAGGAGAGGGCGCCCCCACAGATGGGGGCCCCCCAAGGAGAACTGGAGGCTCCAGGGGGCCCCCACGGGGCCCCAGAAGACAGCCAGAGGCCGCAGAGCTCACCTGAGTTGCTGCTGCATGTTGTTAAATGCATGCATGGCTTCAAAGAAGCGCTCGGAGCTCAAGAGAGAAAAGAACAAGCCGCGAGCAGCCAGCAAGTCCAGCCGGCGGGGCACTCTTGCGCTGCTTCGCTGCACAGCCACAGCAGCAGCAGCAGCAGCAGCAGCAGCAGCAGCAGTTCCAAAGCCTGTGGCCCCAAGCTAAGCCCCTCCTAGCCCTGGCTGGGGCCCCTGGCGCCCCGGGGGCCCCCGCAGCAGCTGCGGGGGGCGCAGGCGAGGTGTACAGACACCTGAAGGGCCAGGGCGGGAGCAGCAGCTGACCTTCAAGACATTAAATGCATGCAAAAAGAAAGCCTTCAGTTCGCGGCGCTGGTGGCTGTTCTCCGTGTTGAAGTCTGCGAAGAGCTGCGAGGATAGCGCGTCCGTCAGCGCCTCTGCAGCAACAGCAGCAGCAGCAGCAGCAGCAGCAGCGGTGAGGAGGCTTTTCTAGTGCAAGTGCCAACTGCACTGCCGGGAATCGAACCCACCCGCAGCATTTCGCTCATCTGTGAGAAGCCAAGAAGCAGCAACTGCTGCGCGCAAGTCCCCCCGTCTTTTTGCTTCGTGTCTCAGCGCGCAGTGCAGCAGGAAAATAAAAGGGTGTTCTTCCAGCAGCCTGCGGCGCTGCTGCAGCTCCTCGCTGCTGCTGCTGCTGCTGCTGCTGTCTGTGGTGGGCTCGCAGTCGAAGTCCGCCCACGGAGAGCCTGAGCCCTTCTTGCTGCTGCTACTGCTGCTGCTGCTGTCGGCATCGAGCAGCACGAAGTAAGAGCCCCACAGCTCGTCTTCCAGCCGGGATATCGGCGCGGCGCGTTGGCCGCTGCTGCTGCTGCTGCTGCTGCAGTCTGCGACGAGCCTTTGCTGCTGCGGCCTGCGCAGCTGCTGCTCGGGCTCCTGCAGCAGCAAAGTCTCCAGTAATCCCGCAGACATTCCTGCTTCTCCTTCCCCCAGCAAAACTCCAGGCCTAGTGAGGGCCCCATAGGCCTCCCGCACAACTGCTGGCAGCAGCGGGACAGACCAGAACAGCGGCAGCAGCTGCAAGACACCCACCCAGCAGCACAGCAGCAGCAGCAGCAGCAGCACAGACATCCAGCCCCACGCCTGCGCCCCGGGAGCCACGGGCCCCAGCAACAAAGACGCAGCAGCAGCGCAGCAGCAGCAGCAACGCAGCAGCAGGGCCAGCGGGGCAGCAGCGAAGCAGCAGGGCAACAGAAAGAGGCAGCAGAGAGAGTTTCTATTGCTGTTGCTGCAGACGCACGCTGAGGGCAAAGACCTTTGCAAGAGGAGCTGTACCCAATAGGCCCCTGTCCATTGCTGCCAGCAGCAAAGCCTTCAGCTGCGCCCTCGCGCTGCAGCGCAGCAGCCCCGTGGGGGCTGGGGAGGGCACAGCAGCAAACAGCAGCCTGCTGGCTAGCTGTGCTGCTGGGGTGTCTGTACACCCGAACGTGCTGCCAATTGCTGCTGCCAAGTCCTCCGCAAGAAAAGTCGCCAGGGGACCCTCGCCGGGGGCCCCCTGCTGCTGCCGCTCCACGGCCCACGCCTCGTCGCTCCAGGGCCCCCCGCCTGCTGCTGCTGCTGCTGCTGCTGCTGAGTCGAAGCCTGCAGCGGCGGAGGCCCCCGGCCCCGCTGCTGCTGGGGCCCCACACGCTGCTTCTGCTGCCTGCCGCAGGGCCTCCGACGACAGGTGCAGCAGCGCAGCAGACTCGAAGCAGCCAAATCTATAGCAGAGCAGCAGCAGCACCAGCGCAACTCGCTGCAGCACACAGACACCAGCCAGTCAGCAAACAGCTGCAGCCCTAGCGGGCTTTTTCACGCAGCCACAGCGCTGCAGCAGCAGCAGCAGCAGCAGCAAAAGAGGCAGCTGCAGCAGCGCCCAGACCAGCAGTAGAAGCAGTGGAGCAGCGGCACGCGCAGCACAGCGTGCCAAATAACCGCTTAAATGGCAGCAACAAAAGCAGCAGCATCTGCTGCTGCTGCTGCTGCTGCTGCTTTCTTACTCTGAGGAAGGGGTAGGTGCGCAGCAGCCACAACAGCGCATCTATTAAACCCCCGCAGAGAGTCAGCAGCCACGCGTAGGTAAAGTTGACATGCAGCGCAGCAGCAATGCGCTGCTGTGGGTCACACCAGGGCTGCTGTTGCTGCTGCTGCAGACGGTGCAGCACGCCCCCACCGTGTCCCGCTGCTGCTGCTGCTGCGAACTCCATGTGCTGCTGCTGCGGGTCAAAGAAAAGAGGCCCCTGCAGCTTTACTTTGCTCACGAGGGACCGAAGGCCGCGCAGCAAGAAGCCGTCGCTTCCGCGCTGCTGCTGCTGCTGCTGCTGCTGCTGGTCCTGAGCTAGCAGCAGCATTAGCCGATAATGGAGAAAGTCCTCCTGTGTCACCTGCTGCAGCAAAAGCAGCAGCAGCAACCAGGCAGGACAGACTGCTCGCCAACACTGCGACAGCACACCTGGCTGCAAAGTGCTGGCGGCGGCAGCTAACAAAGAAACCCTAAACCCTAAACCCCAAACCCTAAACCCTAAACCTTTCGGTCTATATCGCACAAAATTGTTTACCTGCAGCGTATCCGAAAGCTTTAGAGGGGGCCAAAGGTCAGGCCGCAGCAGCGACAGCAGCAGCAGCAGATGCGGGTCTGTCCGTTCAGCCCCGTCCTCCTGCTGCTGCTGCTGCTGCTGTGGGGGGTGCAGCACGAAGCAGTCGCTCCAGCTTCTGGCTGTTGTGGCTTCGGGCGAAAGAGCAGCAGCAGTCGGCATAGCAGCAATGAAAGCCTGCAGCGCTGCAAAGGTCACAAGAAGCAGCAAGGCCAAACTATAGTGAAGCCAATGCGTGCTGCTGCTGCTGCTGCTGCGGCTGCTGCTGCTTTCGAAGAGCTAACAAGCAAGATACAGAGGCAAGGCTTAAGCTTCATTTAGAGCCTTTTGCTGCACATAGAGTAGAAGGCTTTTTCAAGGTTTAAGCCTCTATTCTTATGACTCTGCGACCCCGCTGCTGCTGCTGCTGCTGCTACTACTGCTGCTGCTGCTACTACTGCTGCTGCTGCTGCTGCCGCTGCTGCTGTGCAGGTAGGCACGCCCTACCGTCTGCTGCTGATTGGCCCTCTTTGTCTGCTGCGTTGCGCTTCACTGCTTCGACGGAAGTGCGCAGCAGCAGCAGCAGCAGCTGCCGGCAAATGAAAGGCAGCAGCGGCGGGGGGGGGGGCAAAACACGGGGG